TGAAAATTGACAGAACATCAAGCTTTCAAGTCATGGAAAACGTGCCTACACTACTGGTGAAATCGTCAACACAATGGCGATTGATGCTCAACGTGTCATTGACTATTTTGGTATCGTTAACATTATATGGTCTGCCCCACTTCAACTGGCGATCACCATATACTTGCTTTGGAGAAAGTTGGGTGTTTCATCGTTCATCGGCCTATCAGTCATATTACTTCTTGTCCCTTACAATGGTTTCGTTGCAAGTCGATTCCAAGCATGTCAAGTCGCTCTGATGAAAGAAAAGGATTCTCGATCAAAATTAGTTTCAGAAGTTTTAAATGGAATGAAAGTCTTGAAATTATATGCTTGGGAAGGTGCTTTTGGTGACATTGTTGCGTCAATCAGAAAAAATGAAATCAAATATTTGAGATCTCAGGCGCTTTGGCTGGCAGGAATGACGTTTCCTTTTACCTCTTTATCTTTTCTGGTAAGTACATTTATACCTAAGATTTTGATTGATTTTAAGTGCTTTCTTTATTTCTAACTAGGTTACGGTAGTTTCCTTCGCATCCTATGTGCTGATTGATAAAAATCATATTCTCGATGCAAATAAAGCTTTTGTATCAATAACACTGATAAATACTCTAACTATGCCGTTAAATTTTCTCCCATTCGTATTAACCTCCGGAGCAATGGTAAGTATGAAGTGTCTTGTTTGCTTGTAGTTTGTCTTACTTTTAATTTCACTGAACATTTCATTTTGCAGTTTTTGGTATCGGTGAAAAGGATAAATAAATTTCTCGCGGGAGATGAACTTGATACTGAATCCATTAATCATAATCCTGATTCAACTAATCCAATACTAGTAAAGGATGCAACCTTTTCTTGGTCTCGTGATGAAGAACCAACCCTTAAAGATATAAACTTACAAGTTGAGAAGCAAAAATTGGTTGCTGTTGTCGGTGTTGTTGGTTCTGGTAAATCTACTCTACTGTCTGCTATTCTAGGTGATTTGTACAAGAAACATGGTACTGTAAATGTAGATGGCAAAGTCGCTTATGTGCCTCAAACATCTTGGATTCAAAATGCAACAGTTCGTGACAATATTTTGTTTGAGTCACCCTTTGTTCAAGAAAAATACGATCAAGTTATTGAAGCCTGTGCGTTGACACCTGACTTGAAGATATTAGCAGGAGGCGACTTGACTGAAATTGGTGAGAAAGGAATTAATTTATCCGGTGGACAGAAACAACGTGTTTCCATTGCTCGTGCAGTCTACTCAGATTCAGATATTTACCTTTTGGATGATCCACTCTCAGCTGTCGATGCTCATGTTGCTAAACATTTATTTGAAAAAGTAATTGGAAACAAAGGTTTACTTAAAAATAAGACTCGACTTTTGGTCACTCACAGAATCACATTCTTACCGCAAGCAGATGAAATAATTGTCTTGAGGGATGGAAAAATCTACGAAAGTGGAACTTTTAGTGAACTGATGGCTAAAAAAGGTGAATTTTTCAACTTCATTGTTCAGTATCAGATTGAACAAGAAGATGAGTTGGATCCTGAAGATGAAAGTTTTGTTAAAGCTTTAGAGCGTGAGAAAAAGCTATCACTCACCCGATCCATATCTTCTGCTGACTCAGAGACTTCGGCCATTCGTCGTCGAACATCACACACTAGGCAAAGTCAAAGTAAAAAATCAAGAGCAACATCGAAAAATGACGCGAAAGAAGACAAATTCAAGCTCATTGAAGCGGAAACTGCTGAAACTAGCTCAGTTAGTTCCAAGGTTTACTTTGATTATATCAAGGCCATTGGTTGGAAAAACTGTTCTGTCATATTATTATTTTGCACCATTTTCAGTGGTTTCATTTTAGCCTCGAGTCTATGGTTAACAGAATGGGCTGATGACTATTTAAATCCTCTCAACTACCATAATACAGCTTTACGAAATAAACGACTAATAGTTTACGCTATATTGGGCACTTTTCAAGCCATTTTCATCTTGGCCTTTACATTGGTGCTGTGTATCGCTGCTGTCGAAGGTTCACGGTGGATTCATGAACAAATGTTATCACGTTTAATTCGAGCACCAATGTCATTCTTCGATTCCACACCTACCGGACGGATTTTGAACAGATTCACTAAGGATATTGATTTAGCTGATTCAGCAATGATCTTTAGCTTACAACAATTTCTAATGAGAGTATTTAGTTCGGTTACTGCAGTTATAATTATAATTAAGGAAACACCATTCTTGGTAATAATGATCATTATTCTTGCTTTGGTTTATATTTTGATTCAGGTATTGATATTTGATTTCCTCATTTAAAACCGTTTGTTAAATGTTCACATCATTAATGATTAATTTTTCTTCTTGCTCAGAAAATATACATCGCAAGTTCACGACAATTAAGGCGAATCGATGGAGTTACTCGTTCACCCATATTCTCACATTATACTGAAACAGTTACAGGTTCAACTTCAATCAGAGCTTATCAAGCAACAGATCGATTCTCGGAAAAATTATTCAAATTGGTTGATGTAAACAACAGTGCATCTATGGCCAATCTTGCCGCTAGTCGTTGGTTATCAGTTAGACTTGAATTACTTGGCAACATTATTGTAACATCGACTGCACTTTACGCTGTAATTGGCCGTGGAAGCATGAGTCCTGGGAAAATAGGTCTTTCCATCAGTAATGCATCCCAAATAACTAGTATTTTGGACATGTTAGTTCGTTCATTTTCTGACCTTGAAAATAATTTAGTTTCCGTTGAGCGTTGCTTGGAATACACAAAATTGGATGCTGAGGTGAAGATGAATTTCAATTTGATTAGATACTGACTTATTAGGTCAAGCATGGAAAAATATTCTCGTATTGACACTGAAAAGCTATTATTACTTTTCCATTAATACTTTTTAATTTGCTTACAGGCACCATGGGTCAACCCATCTCATAGACCATCAAAAGATTGGCCTTTTGAGGGTCGAATTACATTTAACAAATATTCAACTCGATATCGACCTGGTCTCGATTTGGTATTGAGAAACATCACTTGTTGCATAGACTCTAACGAAAAGGTTGGAATTGTTGGACGAACTGGTGCAGGTAAATCATCATTGACGTTAGCTCTATTCCGTTTAATTGAACCCACTGACGGAACTATTACGATTGATGATGAAGATATAACTCGATTAGGACTTCATGATCTACGTTCACGATTAACTGTTATACCTCAAGATCCTGTGCTCTTTTCTGGTTCATTTAGAAGAAACTTTGATCCCTTGGAAATGCATACTGATAATGAAATTTACGATGCTCTTGAACAAGCAAATTTAAAAGACTTTGTAGTCTCGTTGGATAACCAACTATATTATGAAATTACTGAAGGTGGAGATAACCTCAGTGTTGGTCAGAGGCAACTTGTTTGCTTAACTCGAGCTCTGCTGCGAAAATCTAAAATTCTTGTTCTTGATGAAGCTACAGCAGCAGTAGATGTGGAAACAGACGAATTAATTCAGCAAACAATTAGAAAACAATTCAAAGATTGTACTATTGTTACGATTGCTCATCGTTTGAATACTATCATGGACTATGACAAAGTCATCGTGATGGATAAAGGGCAAATAATTGAATATGATTCTCCGGATAATCTGTTGAAAAACAACGAATCTGAGTTTTATAAGATGGCAAAAGATGCTAAACTTGTTTAGTGGAAAGTTGCTTCCAAAGTTATTAACATTTTGTACAGCAATGAATTGTATTTTTACAATTACAACCTTTTCCTTGTGTAGATTTTAATAAACTATGATACCTAAGATGAGCTTCGAATATTTGCGGGTAAATGTCTTACAAATTTCTATAGCAACAGTTCATTATTCTTGAAAGTTTATTATTTGTTTTAAAATTTCAAAGTTTATCTTTCTATTTTATTTTTTCATTTTTATTCATATTAATTTAGTGCAATAAAAACATCATGTCATCTGAGGTAAGGTGCTTACCATAAAATACCATAAATTACCATAAAATTTTTTAGTGCAGGTCTGCCAAGTTGGTTTAGAAAGGGCAAAAAGTTGAAAGAAACCAAGGGAAACATTGGTCCAAACCCGGTCATGTAGTTGTCCTAGACCCGGGTGAAAAGTGGATCCAGAAGCTCAAGGTTGGCTTAGAAGAGGCCTTAGGGATTAACACTACTGAAATTAATACAGAAATTCAGCCCTTTATCATGTTTTGTTAGCGAGAAGTCGTGAAAAATGCCTAGTTTCGAAGCTTGAAATTTTCGTTGAATCATTATTTCAATCTTACAATCTGCTGAGCTTTATTTGATTTCATATTTATTAATAGATCATCTGTAGTTTGGCTTGCATCATTAATGCATAGAAAATTTGAACTATCATATTATGACTTGATTTTGCATAGTTTAAAATCACGATTACACGTTTTAAAATCGCGGACAATCAAAGATAAAACGATGCATCATTCTTTAGAACTGATTTATCTATCTTCATGTGGTATCCGATAATGCATTATTTTATTAGATTTGTTGTCTTCAATTTATTATTCCTAAAAAGGTAAAAGTCATATCTGCGTATGTCATATTTTACAAAATATTTCTGATTATATTAAAATGAATTCATGTTTAAAACCATGGCTGAAAATGATTAACAAAATTGAATAAGCTTGTTCAGGGTTGACTCTAAATGTACTAACGAAATGAACCCACTTACATGTGTTGATTTGTTCACGATAGGTGGTATTCACACATGTTTTCACATGTATTTCATTGTGAAGTCCAGTACAATACAATGCGGAAGATTCAAAAATTTACACATGTTACTAAAAAATCTTGATAAATATTTACATTAAACATCACGTTTTATCACAAAAAATATAAAAATATCATTTGACTATTGATGATAATCAATTTAAAAATTCACAAAGGCAATCGAAATAAATGTTTATGTTTTTGTTGTTTATTTTGTTTTAATTTATTCAGGGCGTTTTCATAATCAATTTGATTTTGTGGAAAAATAACCAGAATTATGCTTTAAAAGATTTTCAATTTTTGATTCATTTAAAACTAACTTGTACCATCAGTCTCAACCACCATTGACACAATATGCTTTTGTTAACAGTGTTTGTTATTACTTGGACAACAATTATCAATGGAGTCTATTCAGGTAAATCTCACCACATCACCTGCGATAACATTTTGAGCTTCAATTGTATTTCATTTGAACTATTTTAGTCGTGCCCGTTGATCTTCCATTTGACATTGAAGATGGTAACTGGTTGATAAAAGCAAAGCTTACAATCAAAGTAAGTATAAATAGAAGTTTCATATTTCGTTCGTCTATCAGTCATTCACATTCACAATTTCATGTTTCAGGATAGCCCATTGCAAATCAAAATCGATGAATACATTCAATCTGCGAATGGAACAATAAGAAGCAAAGTAGTAGTCAAAGTAGACAACACCAAGCCATTCGATATATTTTATACGAACAAAAATCATTACGAACGATTAATGGTTAAAGGTTTGTGTTAAAACTCGAAAAGCTGGCATTGTTTTGCGATTGATATAAACTTTTCCATCTCAATTATTCTTAGGAGCTACTTGTACCTATTTTTTGTATCAAAAAGATCATTACGGCTGGAACTATTACATAAGTGAATTAGGAAGCGATAACTTCGCCACTCATTTGATATTGGTTGGACCTTCTGTTATATTCAGAATTAATAAACTTGCACCTGTCTGGGTAAGTTTTCTGCTAACTGATTAAGGGTTGATTTTTGTCACTGAAAATTAAAAAAAAACTTGAAATTAATCCAATGATTAAATACCATTTTAGAAATCAGGTCAAGATGATGTTATCAGGGGTGTTATACAGCATAGTGCGACTGCAACTCTTGATCCCCATCTCAATGTGTGGTTTTACTACAAAGGTAACAGTCTTGAAGGATTGAGAAGACCGACTCGAGCTTTATTTTCTGGTTATGACTCCAACTCTTACCGGCGAATAGACGATCAATATTGGTTTGACTTATATACTATTACTCGAGTTGACCAAAATTTTGATACAATTGTTACGGTGAGTAATATTACACCTGTGATATTTGCGACTATTTTTGACCGAATAATTTTTCTTCTTCGCATTTCAACATTGATTTAGCCTGAACCTGGAGTATTTTGTGACAAATACTTTAGTGACGCTTCAGCCAAAACCAGAGCACCTTTCCCAAAATTAACTCAACATTCAGTACATTTTATTGCCAAAACCAAAGGTTTAAGTGCAGGACCAGCGAAGAAAGAAGAAGTAAGTAGTTATTATTGAGTTAAATTGGTTAATAACGAAATTGATTATTTACAGGTTCATGCTGATGCAAAGAATCAAATCTTAAGAATTGCAAGTTCTACTTATGGAAAGGATAATAATAAACTCATTACAACTGATATCATTTATGATTATCAATTAGGACTTGGATATGAATTTACAGAAGAAGGAAATTGTTCAGTTTCTCCAATGAGTTTATCAGCACCTGGTATACTTCAAGATTCATCATTGAGTTATGGCAACTATAAACTTGATTTAAATCGATTGCTCAACCTTGATGTGAATTATCATTACTTGGGACCAGCACTTTTTGTAAGAATACAAATATTGATAAAATTGATAATTCTCATCTTGTGCTTCAATCATTCATAATACAAAAATATAAATAATTTCAGGAGGATCGAGATGATATTGGGATACACGCATGGGAAATGTACAGCAAAAGTGCCAAGGTTGGGGGCAAAAATCGTCCAAATGTCATAACTACTCAATATTTAAGCAAACTAACAGTAAGTCAAAGAAAATCTGTCGAGAAACATAAATATAATTGAAATATTCTGATTCAACAGGATGAACGAACAGATTACACACTGGTTGGTACAACGTTGAAAGCCTATGATAACAATGTAAGAATAAAACAACTGGCAATAAATATTCGCAATGAATTAATCAAGATCTAATAGAGCTAATCTATGAGACTTAAAATATAAAGGATTTTCATCAATGCAATCGGCTATTATGAAGTTTACTGGTAAAGAAAAGTTAAACTAAATTGACTCTAAAATGACAAGCTCAAACTGGCCACTTATACAAACAAAATTTGTTAAATGGATTAGCTCTTTTGAATCTTGGGTTACTTTACCCTACTTGATTTACATAAGTTTGCTCCTTTCGCTGACGTTTCTTCAAATATCTCAGAAAAAAATGATTGCTAACCTTACAACAAGTTACTTCAATTATGGTTATGAGATGAGTTCTTCAGATAGCATGGAAAAGTTTTCCGTTAGAGACTGCTATTCCGATCCAAAAGCTGAAAAAACAATAGCATTCTTCTTCACTTGCACAGGTAAGCATGAAACTACAATTTTATGTTCAAGTTTAATATCGACAAATCGTATTAGTCGAAGATACCTTTTCTAGCAAGTAAACAAGTTTTCTTTGAAAGTAAATATACAAGTTGGTATCATCCATACTTTGATATTACTCATCATCTTTATTGTTTTCCGAATCATGCAAAAAAAGTTCGATTTTCTTACCTATTCATTTACTCAACCTTATGTTTGATATTTTAGATACACCTTGTGATTATTTAAACCAATATTATTATCGAATCCAAGAAGCAGTTAAAGAAGCACTCGTCAACACTGGAACACTTTCAGCTTCGAGAATCTCAAACATTGAACCAATAATCAACTCCAATGAGATAATTATTTATGTTACAATTTTGGACTTTCCAAGAATAAAAAGTAACGACAATTTCCTAGACTTTTTGCAATTTACTAATTTTCTGTTTTATTTCATCCAACAGATGCATTTAAGATGCAAACCATGAAATTAGCTGAAAAAACATTAACAACTTCATCAAGAGTTATAGTTGATGGCGATGAAGAAGATTGTTTGAGGACAAATTCATATAAATATGAACCATTTACGTAAGTAAATTAACTAAAATACCATTTTCCGTTTTGTAACTTTTCGTCTCATTAACAGAGCCATTGCATTCTGTAAGACTGGGAATGGTAATGTGTGTCAGAGAATTGATGGTAAAAAAGTAAAACTAGTTGAAGATAAGGATAATGGAACTTCATGTTCAGTTTTCATGACACCATTGAAGAATGTTTACCGTTATAACCGAGAATTACCTTTGGAAAATATTCACGAGAAACTCGCTCACATCGAAATCTCTTTGAATTCACCAAATATCGGCGAAAAGTTCAAATTGACTCCATACCAAGTGACAGATGTAACCAAAGTCAATGACGATGCAACCAATTCATTATATGAAACGATCATTCAAAACACAAAGCTAATCGAAGATAAACTTGATACAATTCAAGTTGTTGGTGCTACTGATTTGAGTTCTTGCCATCGAAAATGTGTTCAGTCAGCCGAGAATAATTGTCAATCTTTTTCATTTTGCACTTATGCTGATAGAGTCGAATGCTTTGTATCGACGATTTCAAATGTTTCATCTGAAAAAATAACTCATGATACATCATGTGGTACCTATCTAATTGAGAATCTAACGAAGTATGAAAAAAATTCGTTCAAAAGATTTAAAAATATTGACATATCTGTACCATTCGAGAGTTCTCTTGGAAAATGTGCCTCTTTTTGTTCCAATTCCGATTCATGTAAATCATTTCAATTTTGTTCTGGTTCATGCACTTTAGCTGGTTATTATACGGATGCGTCGAGCGTTTACAGTGAAAGTTGTGATATTTATATTCGTAAGTAGATTAAATCTTTTATTTGTATCAATCAGAAGAAATATTCAAATTAAATTTTGTTTCTATTTGTATGACAGCAAAAGTATTGGATAGATTTGAGTTAACTGGAAAATCAATCGTAACAGACGTGTTCCACACTGAACTGAACCTTAATGCTGACCAATGTGCCGCTCTCTGTTTTCAATGGAACGATAATGACTTAGTTTGTCAGTCTTTCAACTTTTGTCCAGCACATGGAAAAACATCGAGCATGTGTCATCTATCAAAGTATTCAAGACATGATACTAATGAGAAACTGATTCACTCTGATACTTGTCAAAATTATGAAAGAACTAAACAGAGTGTGAGTGAACAACGAAATACTGAGGTTATCGCAAATCTCACTCATTCTGGGACGATTTACGGAATCATCGTACTATTTGTTGCCACTGGACTGATTTCTGGAATAGTAGTTGCAGTAGCGTATTTCAAACTTTTTTTTGTTAAAAGCGATGCATCTGAAATCTATAATCGTAACACATTCAGTTGGACTAAACAGCTTAATGATGAACGACAATCTGTGAATGCTGTCGATTCATTGCAAATGTCATCTGATTATGCTGTTCCTGTGAGTGAATGACTGCAATAAAATATTTTTGTCCACTTTATATGTACCAATTAATTTTATAAATACAATATTTTATGTATAGCTTTCATAAATAAAGGCAACTTCAAATAATGCGCCCAACGATTACCATTGACTAGTCATTTTTATAGCAGCATTTTGAACAATCTTTGAATAAGAAATTCCGGATTTTATCAAAACCAACAAAGGATCAACTCACAGCTTGCACGAAAACATTTAGTTGTACTTAAAGAATGGCTTTTTTTCATTCCAAAATGAATATTATTAATGTTGCATGATCTAAAGATTTTAACTTTTTGATTTCTTATTCTGGAAATGGTTCCTTCATTAAGAAATCGTGTTTTTGATTTCGGTTTGATCACCTACTCAGAGAAAAAACTCAAGGCATGATCAGTCATTTTTACGTCAAAACGATGGCAAGGGAAAGGATTCTTAAACAAATTTTACTACCAAATTAGCTTGACAAACTATCCGTATTGAAAAGCATTGTGCTGGGAAGTAGATGATTTTTTAGCTTGGTTTACTGTTGGACGCTCAATGATTGTTGTGCATAAACAGAATTTTTATTGAAATAAGTGCATAATCTGGTTGATCCACTAAAGATCCGTCAGAAAAATCAGTGTCAACAAAGGCCACTTCACAATTATCCATCAAACTCGGAGGAGAAAAAAAGATTTGAAATTTCTTTTTGAAACATGTTAAACTCTCATAGACAGAAACAAATTTCGAGACTAACAGCTTTTGTAAGTCAACTTTTTTTATGCCAAAATCCTATTTAAAATTGAATATCTTTCGAACGACTAATCTGAAATTTTTCTTCTCCGAGTTTGTTCGATAATTGTGAAGTGGCCTTTGTTTTTTTCATTCTGAATTTCTCAGATAGCAAAGCTGTAACATAACATGTTGAATTTTCAGAAAAATTCAGTCATTATCCGACGAGATATGAGAAAAACCCCAAAATTCTCAAACTTTTTCCCAACAGGTTAGTAATAATGGATTCTGCTTTTAAGCCCCTACAAACCTACAAAGTCACTGCTTTTTTCTCAAATTCAATTACATTAAATATTGAAATCAAGTTGGCGAAAGCCGAGATTTTTTTCGTAGTCAACATTCAACAAAAACAACTTTGCGATCGAATTTATATTTGCTTATTGTTTGTTAATACTTTCTCTGTAGATTGATTCTGATTTTGATTGTATTAATAACACTTGAAAATAGCTGAACTCTGTTTTTTAACATAACCCTAACCCCCTACTGTATTGCTTCACTCTTCTATCTTTTACATCGCTTTTTATCTCACTGAATCATTGAATTTTTCATTTTCCTTTTAAGGAAATTTATGAGACTGGAACTCAATTTTGTAAGCAAATTGCACCCGAAACACGCCCTAATTTCAATCCAATGAAATTCAATCCTCATTATTTACCGACTGCGAGAATCGGTAATTACTGCTTACTAATCAGAGTTTAAGTTCATTTTATTAGCAATTGTTTTTTCTCAACAATAAGATCGAATGATTTCTGCACAATAGGCGCTAATTAGCAAAGAGAAAAGCGTTTATCAAAATTTTCATCAGTAATTACCATTACATTTGATAACTTATCCATAGGTTCAGTATAAATATGCCGATGAAATTCATTCAATATATGTTAATAATAATTGAACAAAAATTGCTGTTTCTCTAGTTTAAACTTGTAATTTAATTGCAAGCAAAATGATTTCCAAAGTTTTTTCATGCTTATTACTTTTATTTTCGTGCAATGTTATATTTTCAAGCCAAACCATCATTGAAAGTCAGTGTGAGGATGTTCATGAACCATCTGAATATAAATTATTCGACCGTGATGGTAACACTGAATTAACAGCGGTTTTCGCAATGGGATGGGCAAATGCTTTTGAACCATCATTAAGTTTGGAGCTAATTGATAATAGACCTATCAGGTTCGATCGTTATTTTAAAAATTACATCTCATTTAAATTCAATGACAAGAAATATAGATTCAGCTGTAACAAACATCCTTATGAAGACGCAACTTGCAGCTCTGGTTTTACTGACGACGAGACATCAAATGATTGCACTTTATTTCCCGTAATCAACAAGTGTAAGTGGGTTTTGAAGGTTGGTTTGGTGGATGCTCAAACTGGAACAAGGAAAGGAAACACAAACTGGTTCATTGGCAATAGGCAACATCAACAAGCCATCCGAAGTGGAAATTACGCTGTCAAATTTGGATAGAGATAAGACTGTGGCTGTGAATGATCTTCCGATATATCGTTGGTCATATGCTCGGTACTGTAACAAGACAATATACGATGTTGGTAGCAATATGATAACTTTGAAGAAAGAAAATGATTCATTCGAGTTTTTTATTTACCGCCTTTCCAAGTACGAAGACAAAAAACCTAGACATGTGACCTTGATCAATTCAAAAAACAGTTCAATATCTATCTCTTGTGATTATGATAGAAATGATGTTATTGTTTCGACTAAGATGGGATCCAAGGAAGATCCAGTATTGAACAATTATATATTTAGAAAGCACATTGATGGTCTTCGATGTGGCATCTTTTTAGCGATCAAACTGCGTAGCGAATATTCATCATTTTCTTTTGATGATACACCATTGAAATTGATTTATAAGGCTGATGATTCTGATAATATTATGACACAATTAGTAAAATTTGACTCTGATCCAATTACTGTAGATAAATTTAAAATCGAAACTTCTTCGACAGCATCTGTGGATCAACATGAGTCCGACGATCCACCTAAAATTGAAATCACTTCAACCCTCTCCGTGGATCAAAATGATGTCTCCGATCAGCCTAGAGTCGCTAATACCACACCAGCCTCTGTGAATCAACATGATGTCGATGATGAAAACCAGGACCATGATAGAGTAAATCCTTTAATAGGAATATTTTTGACTGCCATAACTGTATTTAGATCTTATTTAGATCTTTGGTAATCAAAAAACTAGGTTTCGATAACAAATGAGTCCAATTGTACACTGATTGCTGAGATTATTTAGAACCCTCATAATAAAGTTACAGAAATATATTTCTTCAAACTAAGTAATTTGATATTGAATACTAATTGATCAAAATTTTCAAACAAATCTCGCAAGCACAATAATAACGCGTTTATTACATTATTCATCAGATATCCAGATCATCTTTAAATGATACTTGCAAAGTAAGGAAATGTATGTACGAATGCGACTCTTTCTTAATTGAACCTGATCGTCCAGTTGAGAAGTATAAGGTTAATTTGACCTCTATGGATTTTATATGCTCTCGAAAAATTGAATGTTATTTTACAAGTGTGTTAATATGATTGTGGTTGAAACGAAAAAATGGAATATTTTAGTGGATTTATTTCGAAATCATAATGATGAAATTGACAATCATTTTCTAAACTTCCTCAAGTATCGATGATTTTTCTGTTTCGTGGTGTTTTTGTTATCGACCATTTTACTCAAAACATCGAACCATGTGTAGAACCATGTCTCCATAACTGACAGTGGTCATGGTGGCTAATACAATAACAGTAGGCATCAGGTATTGAGTTGAAATATGATCGAGAAACTAATGGAATTGTAATATTAGTAACATTATAAAGGATTGAGTTAGAGGTAAGTATCGGCATTTAGAAGGGAAAATTAAATCAAAAGTGTTCGATCCATTAGTGAACCACATGAGTCAGAACTCTTTCATTAATATAAAAGTCTAAACAGCGAAAATGAATCTCGATTTTAACTTATTTTTATCCACAAAGTAAATGGCAGAAACGCCCAAGATAGGAGAAACGATAAGATCAAATTGGCTTTAGCTCTATTGTCTAATTAGTCTAGTCAATTTGGACTTTCATTAAGTTTCTACAACAAAATTGCTGAACATTAAAGCAACAAGATACAATTGATATCAGGTACGCATGTAAAATGTATTATTTGTTACTAAAAATTCAAACAATACAATTATTACAACTATGACATTCGTCGTAATTGTTTCAACTTGAACTATTGTCATAGTTGTCACATTCAAGCACTGATTGACATAAATAGGCAAAGACGGGCAAAAATAAATTTAATTAACCAATTTCTTTTGCATTTGTACTCTGTTGGTTTATCGGAAATGTAAACTGAATCCATTTGGGCAATGAAAAATTGCTCTTATCGCCTATTCTCAAGCAAAACGAATTTAAAGCTTAAACTTGGATTCGCTTTTGTACAATCATTGAGTCAGATCTTTGGATCGTACTTATTTTATGGCGCAACTGGAAAAGATTTGAAACAGCTGTTCCAAACAGATAAACTACAAAAACATAATGAATCAGCTATAATTTCAAATCAAGGTAAAGATAAACTTTAATTTTGCTCATCAAAAGACAGATTTTTTACAATTAAAATAGAAAAGTCATAAAACCCACAAAAATGATTGTAACAATGAAATATAACAATTATGATACGATTATTTGCAAACCAATGAAACAAGCAGAAAACGATCAAAAAATTATCATTCAGTGGCTGTTGTTTATTCAATTTCGAGTGAAAAGGCATAGAGTTACTGATATCAACATGTTGAAATGAATGTGAAAAAAAATGTTTATTCATTGATGCGAATGAGTTACTCGAGTTTGGATTTATGGTCAAAGTGGTGGTAATGATGCAATAGATTATGTCCAAGATGAAGGGAGTGACAAAAAGAAATGAACAAAGAAAGTCAAGTTTGCCTTTTTTGATTTATTAATTGAGTTATATCATATTGCATAATTGAATCACAGTCTAGATAATCTGAGTTGTTTGGATCATTGTCAGTATCTAATTTATTATAAATTAGGCCATCTGATTGATAGGTATTGGGATGATGATAGTATTGCTGGTTAGATGAGTGGGAATGATGGTCGTGTTGTTGGTGAGGATGATGATGATAGGGTTGACATGAAATTTGATGATGATTGGAAACATCAGGGAAAGACGTTTGAGATGCATTGTCTTCATCTGGATCCATTGTGTATGAGCTTGTTTGATAAGGATAAAGCCCAATATAAGGGCAACTCTTGACATGATGCAGGTTGATGTTGTTTAAATCTTCCGAGCCCATCTCACGATTGTAAAAATAATTAAAATTGGAAACTATCACAGGCACAGGCAGGGCTAGAGTAAGTACACCAGCAATGGCACACAGTGAGCCAACCATTTTACCCCAAACACCAAGTGGAACCATATCTCCGTAGCCGACAGTGGTCATGGTGACTACAGCCCACCAGAAGGCATCAGGTATTGACTTGAAATAGGATCGTTCGGATCCAGCTTCAGCATAGTAAACGGCTGAAGAGAAAAGGATAACACCAATGAGAAGGAAAAATATCAATAAGGCCAATTCTCGAAGAGAAGCTTTCAAAGTCATTCCCAATATTTGTAAGCCCTTGGAGTGTCGAGAAAGCTTGAAAATTCGAAAAACTCGAACCAAACGGATAACTCTGAGAATGGCCAGGGAAGCTCCTTGATTTTGTTTTTCACCACTAAAGGTTTTGGGTTCTTCTTTATCAGCAAAAACAGTTCCAAGTGTTATGAAGAATGGAACGATTGCCATAAAGTCGATTGCATTCATAATGTCCTGAAATGAAATAGAAAATAAAAAATCTATTAATTGTTTTTATCAATAGTTGAATGAATTGTTAATATTCTGTTCGTTTTTGTAAACATTAAAAATAAACTGAATGAACCGAAAAATACTTTTCACTTTATTGTAATAATTTATTTGAACTTGTAAAGCGGTTTCACTTCAAAATAGCCAAACTCAAACTGGCAAAGGTTTAAAATAGTCAATCAAATTTAAAAAACAATTCACTTAAAATTGGATTAAACGAATGCTTTGACTAAGTGCGTGAGCTAATTAGTCAGTCTAATCGAAATCAATCTAAATGTCACTCTATAAAAAACCAAAAAATATGCGACTGTATTGCGTTTTGCCCTCTAAAGCAGCTGAGAGTAGTGAAAATGTCGGAAAAAGTACCTTTATAAACTCAATTTTAGATGGACAGGCAAATAAACGAATGAGAAACTCGACGAGAAACCAAACAATGCACAGGGATTCAATGATGAAAAAGGGGTTCGAAGTTGATGGCACGTCGTTTTCAATGACTCGAGTTTTATTGTCGAATGTTGTGAATATTTTATAATGCTTATACTGTGGCAATGTTTCCAGGCAAAAGATAACAATTGATACAATGATGACTAAAACTGAAGTAATGGCAACTATTCGAGCAGCCTGCGAACTTTCAGGATGCTCAAAGAGTAACCACAATTTACGGTGAAGTTCATTGGTTGGTAAAGGTCTCTCCTCTTTATCAGCTGCAAAACCTTCATCAGCTTTCAACTTTTCCAGCGCTTCTTCCCCCAGTTCATAAAATTTAACTTCTTCCACAAAAATGTCCAACGGAACATTACCAGGCCTGCGAAGGCGACCGCAACTTTGATAATAATAGAGGATAGCTTCAAAGGCAACTCGGCATCGATCGAAAAAGTATTCATTTCGATTTGGATCAAAATATCTAGAGGCAAAAATCAACGAAAAGTGTATGAGACCAAAAAGTTTGATTCGTTTGCTCGCATCGTTTCATGCATTTTCTCATTCTTACCTTATTCTTCGTAAAGGATCACCTAAAAGAGTATCTTGAAAAACATTTAAAGTTCGTAATTGAGTTTCAAATTTTGTTCCACTAACATTGATTATTACCCGTTCACAAAGCGTATGATCATGGCTTATCTGCTCAAATCGGTGACGAGGTCCGAATTCAATGCCAGCATCAGATCGAGTTCTTTCCAATAGATTGTCAGTTGCAACCTTTGGCAATGATCTAAAGAAACAAAATGAAACAAGAAGATCGTAAATTGCAATTGATTCAAGAAACTTTGCAATACAATTTGAATCGAAGAGTAAAAAGCAATTTAAATGTTGTTCAGATCTAAATTGGTTGTTATAACGTTGAAGTAAAGGTTTAAATGGCCAGATAAAATGGTTTTCAGTGTAAAATAGCAATAATCGAGGGAATTTAGTTGAGAAAATGAAGAAACAAAAAGTATAAATAATTTGATTGAACTTTGAGTTTGGATTTGAGAAATGAAATAGATTGAAAATTGATGGAAATAATGAGGATATTGTGTGAGAATTTTATGGAATTGAAACAGGTAAACTTGAAATGAGAGTAAAAGGAAAGTCCATGAGTGAGTGGAAAAGAAAAATCGATATTATTATTAGATTCTGTGAAAGAGTAAAGTTTCTTTGCTCTTTCCTTTTTTGTTCCTTTGGGTTCTAACTTTTATTCCTCCAAATGAACCAAAATTACCTGTTCAGTTGTTTTCTTGTTTACAGAATAATTGAGAGAAATGAATGAATGAGTTGTTACAAGATGCAATATACTGTATTATTTAAGAAGTCAATTAACAAGTTAGTATAAGATCTGATAACTGTTCATCAGATTCACCCAAAGAGTAAAGCGAAATTCAAAATTAAATTTAAACTTAACGTTGAATGGAGTTCTCTGAGTTAAAAGCTCAAAGTCAACTCAGTCTAACGAAAAGAAACAAGAATTGTGTCCGATATAATAGAATCAGTTGGAGTTAAGACTCGGTAATCAGAAGGGAAAGTTCAACTCTAAAAGTCTTCCATCCATTAGTTGACCACATAAGACTAAACTCTTTTATTATTGTGCTAATTGTCCTGAAATTGGGTTCTAAGAGCAAATCAACATGAAATCCATCTAGTCTTTGCTTTGCTTTTCTAACTAAAGTTAAATCAAGAAGAGAAATGTTCTTGCTGTTGAGTTATCGATTGCTCGATCGACAGATCAGTTTGTATGAGAAACACGTATTTAAGTTCATTTTTAATCATTTTGCATTTGTACTTGAATTTGCATGCTAACTCGAGTTACTCGTTCTTCTTTGGATTGGTAAACCAATCTTCAACTGAAAGTGTTCGTAGTTTGACAGAGAGTTTAATTTTGTGTCAAAGACCTGTGGGGTTATCTAATAGTCCAACTCTTCTCTTTTAAGACTCAATTAAATCTCTTCTCTTTATTAACGCAAACGATAGATTAGTTTGCGTCAAAACTGTCTGCGTTCATTTGTATTTATACTGCGATTAATAACATTTTTGAGCAAGAAATAAAAATTCTAGTGCGATACAATCTTCCTTTTAGTTTGTATTATTTGTACATTCGTATGATCAAAATACTAGATTACATTAGACTTTTGATACTACTAAGCTCGAGAATAAATAAAAACAAATCTTAAAAACGGCTTGAAAACGATTTGAGAAACAAAAGTAATAATAAATATTACTGAGCAACTTTTGCAAATAATGCAGAAAAGTATTTTTACGGCATAATTTAAATTGAAAGCACGTAATCTGATTCCTCTGATGCTAAAAATGCTTGCAAACAAATGCTAGACTTCAAATGCAGAAAACATAATAATGAATATAACCTCGCCTGAAAAATATGCAACAATGCATGATTAGAAAAGCCATGGACTAGTATTTGATCATAGTGAACATTAATGAGTAGTAAAGATTGGTTAAAAGTCTTTTGCATAACATTAAACATTAGATGAGTTCATTTTGCGGGTTAATATTTTGTTATTAATTGATCTTCATTTTGCATTTTTACTTGATTAGCCCGCTATTCAGTTGAAATGTTTCAATTGTTGCTACTTTTCGATCTGTTTTCGCTATAAATTGCAAACGAGAAAACTGTTTGATTCAATGTTAAGTTTAATAGCAAAATCATAGCCAGTGAAGTTTTGAAAAATAGTTTCCAGACGTCTACAAAGCCATTGTTTGCACAATTTATTGAATAATTGATTGAAAGGACTTTAAAAGTTGAAGTGCAAAAGTATATTGAAAATTGAATCTTCAATAAATCGATTGGAAATACAATTTAGCCCAAATCAAGACGTGATACTGAAAAGACTAACCAGTCTTACAGAAGCATTGGTTGAAGGGAGTCACGGGCAAAGATGGTCAATCTAAGGCAATATAAAATTGGAGTAAAGTCTGTTGAAAGAAACTTAATAACATTTATAAGTATGGATCAAAAGTTATGGGCATAGATGGATGTTTATATCTTAGAGTCCATTGGAAACAATTTTAATGAAAAAAGAGCAAATCGAATGAACTAATATTTGTTCATTTTGATTCTACTTGAAAGGTAAAAAGTGATTGTAAATAAAAACTAATGGCATAACAAGCGAATAAAACAAACAAATTTTGACACTCAGATGACCAAAATATCATAAATAGAAGAGATCAAAATATTTAAACAACAAGCATAAGGTTCGGGCCAAAAAGCAGAGCAACATAAATCACACTTAATTGCTTTCCAGTCTTATTTTTGGCAGGATAAATTAACTGTCTGATTAGAGTTAAATATCCATCTGTAAACTGTAATTAATAACTGAATGTCATGAAAAGTGTTGAGATGCAATTGGTCATGATCTTGGGTTCTTTATAACCTTTTGTTTACCCAAAAAGGTGTCAACAACTCTTTGCAAAATGTCAATACAACGAAAATTTGAGAACAAATTACATCATTTTAATTTGCAAAACTCAGTTATAATTGCAAGTTCAAGACTCTGACTGGAGAAAATTTCGTTTTGGTGAAACCCAATAGAAGAGAGAAAATCAATAGATGTAGTTTATTCACTGTCAAAATATCAACAGATGCACTTTTGTTGAATATTTCATTATGCATTTAGCAAAGGTTTTTGCGTGATTCAATTATTGAACAAGTCTTTGTACACAAAAGCTTTACCTGAGCAATGTTTGCAAATACTTTTGATTGAAATAATTGAAAGTGAAGGATGTTCAGGTATCAGGATCTTAGATGTTCATGAACTTGGACATGTTCTCAGATGTTCTTCCACATAAACAATTAATACAACGTAACATTCTGTTAATACTAATCATCTAATGGGCATAAATATGACTGTTTAGCTATGGAAAGGAATCGGAAAGAAAACCATCTTAAATGTGATCTTGATTGAATGCTATCGTTAAACAGCTAAGAAATACATCACAAAGATCATAAATTGTCATTCTTATGGGAGATGGAATTTCCAATTCCTCTCCTGAAATCTTAAAGGACATAAGAAAATTACAAGCATTTAGCTACAAAAGTAGCTAGAGCTATTGATCATATTCCTTGTCCCTTTGCAAAAAGGTGCGATTGATCGAAATGATAACGTTAAAATCTCGCAAAATCCATGCAAAGATGTAGTTTGTTTTGTTTAAAATTGCAATAGCTCAACATTTCTCGCTTACTGATCGTTTTAATGGTTGCAGCATATTATTTTATTAGCATCTACAGTGTCTTTTAGTGGTTTGGTAAACTGAGTTGATTCTTGAAAGGAATCATTTGATTGCTAGCAAGCTTCTGATTTTCATGTTATTTGATTTTAATAAAACTTTATCCATCAACTACAAATTTTTGCAGTTTTCTGTAATAACACAAAGCATTGCTTCCATATTTATCCGCGAATTTACCATTTTATTATGTCCAATGCATCTAAGGACTGTTATGATGTTTAATGACTATTAAGTCGATGCACAAATAATTTGAAAAGTTAACTTCAAAGTTAGTCAGTCGAGCATAACTTCAAAGGCTTTCATTCAAATTGTTAGCCGACATCATTTGCCTCTTCTCATAATTTTATGCAGTTTTTTTAACAGTTCAAGATTGCTACTGGAAAGTTGAAGGAAGAAAAATTTTTTTAGAAAAAATTTCCTGTCCAATTTTATGTTTATCCTTATTAAACAACATTACTTGTGACCAAAAGTAATGAACTTGGAATGAGCTGAAAAGACTGGGAAGACATGATAAATCATTGTGCAGAAACATTACATGCTGTAAGGAGAACAAAATGAAATCTTTCAGAACATTCTCTTTCTCTCCCTTTGCCTTTGGTCTAAAAATCTCAACACAAAAGGTAAATCAACAACGAAATTAACCAACACTATTAACGGTAGTCTTTTGTTTATAATGGCTTTTTTAACGTAACCTGAAGCATTAACATTATTGATATTATAATGTTATTAATATCAAGTAAAGATAATGTTTCAAAAATGTTGGAAAGTGAATCAAGATCAGGCAACACTTGGAGTCAAGTATTATAACAGGCTCAAGCCTTTTTAATAACAAAATCATTATCCATCAGAAAAAGAAGGAAAAGAAGGAAAAGGTAAAAATGAAAAATTCTGGTTCTAACAAATTATTCTGATAATGATGTTTACCTTTTCGCTGTTGCCTTTGCTGCAGTTGATGTTTATAAAATGCTAAATGCTGTTGATTAAAAACAAAAGCAAATATTTTAAGATCAGTAGACTGATGAAAATGTAGCTTCATAGCATATAAAGTTATTAAACTAGTTCATTGATTGATATTCAAATCGACGAGCGAGTAAACTAACCATTGGGAGTTTAAATTACCTTTTCACGGTAAATTGAAATTACTTTCATCTCAAAATTTTAAAACATCTTTCGATGTAAATCCATTTGATTACATTCAGTTTGTAAACAATTAATTCATCAACTTGATGTGCAACTCAATTTTCTTAGCTGAGAATAAAAATAGGGTAATAAACTTTGAAACGAGACAGTTTCTGCAAACTCGAAACAGAACAATTTTCGGCTAAAAAAGTTGAAATTGAGTCAATTCAACAGATATTTGGAATGGCTAATTTTGTTTTAGAATTTGTTTTCACATAAAAGGCGAATCAAGTTTGCTGAAGAATCGAAAACTTTGTTGCAAAAGAAATATTGGCTATTGTTGCGAGTAGAAGGTCAATTTAATTAGTCTTTACTAAATTTCGTTCAGATTCAACTCAGAAACGCTCAATTATACAGCTATTTATTAGTATCATAGTTCTTCACTCAAACGGTTTTACTCTGACAAACGTTGGCACACAAACTATTCTTATTTTATGTTTTCTGATTATTGAAAAGGTGGTGAAATTGTCAAAATAAAACATTGTGAAGATGAAATCAAAATAGGAAAGAAAAGCAACTAATGTTCGACTTTAATCCATGCATTTGTTTTCTAAGCTCATGCATTTGAATGTCCAGTTCTATCGCATACAATCTAATAGAATGTAATATTGCATTGTTAATTGGCCGTCATTTATACTGCATGAAAGAAGGAAAGCGATGTTTAACTCAATGTCTAATGTTGAAATTAAACAAAGGGGTTAGTTCAACATTCACTGCTAGAAAACATTCAATAATCATTAGACAAAATTTCAATATTTTTGCTTATTATCAATCTTATTTATTTATAGCTAAATTTGACATATCATAATATTATAAGAGTTATATTTATTTTTGGATTGATACAATTTGTCTCATTGCATATAATGGAGCGTGGAAAACTTATTAATAAAGGATTCTACGACACAAAGTTTTTATATTCAAAGTTTATTCATGAAGCGGTTTATGAATTTTCCATTGACTTGGAGCACTGGTAAACCCAATCTTATTTTCATATACTTTATGAGATTCAATCTTCTTCATATTTTGTAGTAAAGGTTTATTGAAATCCCGAGTGGAGTGGTCTATCTTTCAAGAACAATAGATATACTGAGCTGAACACTCGAATAACCAAAAATTTGGAGTCAGACGTTAAACTTCATAGCTTTATGCATTGTCAGATTATTTCGTCAGGAAGTTTTTATGCAAACTTGACTTTGCAAGTAGTTGTTCGAGAAATTGATACTCTAGCTCATACTGCACTTTGTAAAGTTCATTGTTCTGTCAAAATTTTACTAGACTCTGTGCAAAAAAGCTTTTGTATTAAACACAGATTTATGTTATTATAGTTTGTACACAATGCGACGCATCTTCCAATTTTGCAAAACATTTCCTAAAATTCGGCAGCAATTTTCTTTTCCTCTTAATTTCCATAATAATGTAGACCAACAAAATCTTATTGTCTAGAAAGCAATACAGTCAATGTGATGAACATCTCGACAAAACTTAAATATATTTTGTCATCAGGAAATATTATTAAAGCTTTATGGTGTCAATTTATTGCATTTAATTGGCAAGCTAAACTATTATAATTCGTGTTTCTCACTTTCAAAGAACTATCTTTGAATTATTCCCTGATTCTCAATTTTAAGTGCACAAATTCGTCCATATTCGTGGTCATAAAGTGACAATATTGATCAACCCTACTCTGAAGAATGATATATTACTCGATGAGTTGACAATGCTGAGCAAACACATGATTTACCAGGTTGGACAGGTTTACTCAACAAATTTCAGATCAAGCTCTTTTTTCAATTATGCAAGATTTTCTAACAGAAGGACACTAAATAAAGGCTACACTTACAGGTGAAAATCTATTAATATTTTCAGCTAGTCATGTCAAAAGCAATTAGTGCAGAAGTCAAACATTGTTTTTTGGCTGTTTCAGCAGTTTTCATCGTCTATACCGGTGATCTTGCTCAAACTTCGAATCTTGGACCGTTATCCTTCTTTTCTCTTTAGACTTCTAAGTCCAGCCGTTCTCAAATTTCGATTTCAATTTATTCGTCAATTTGTAGCTACACTACCTTATAATAATAGTCTTAATCTATTATTTTCTAAAGATTTTTTCTCTATTCGTAACTCTTCTCTGATGTTGAGATACAGTTGCTCATTCCTACTTTACGTTTGATATTCCTGCATAGCTGAGCAAACAGTTTCTCAGTTTTATTAATAGTTCAATTCTCGCACAAAAATTTCACAATTTTATCAATTTGAATTACATTTACAGCTTAGATTTTATTACAATGATTATCAAATACTTTGCATCATAACTTTATAAATTTGAATAATTCAAATATTCGTTGGTTTCAATTAAAATTTAGATGAAAATTACTGAATGTTTACTTCATTATATTCCAAGAAAGAAAACTCATTTTTTTCTAAATGTGAAAGTTTACACTGCATTAATCTAAGTTTTCAAGGTGTGTAGAGGCTGTTCATTGAAGCTGAGCAAGGAATGAACTTTTTTCTCAAATTTTTCTCAGGTTTTCTTTTTATTTTCATCCTCTTATTTTTGCAACATTACTTTTCTACTTTTATGAAATGAAATTTTTTCCATTTTTGTAACTCTTGTCTGTGTCATATTCATCACCATCATCATCATCATCAACTGCTTCTTCAAATGAAACAACAATCAGCAAACATGAAGTACATTTCTTTAGTATTTTTCACATTTTCAGTTGTAAAGAAAATAAAAACTGTAAAAGTTAAGTTCAGATAAAAATGAACACGGAAATGTTGGGTTAGTCTCGAGGGTTTTGACAGTGACAGATCTAATCCGTAAGATTTGACTTTATATTTGTAACCAAACAAGATGTACTGGGTGTCAAAATGACGTACTACCAACTTCAGACGTTTGCAACATTTGAGTCCGTTGAGCTGCAACTGATGCCATTCGATAATAAAATTTGCAAATTTTTATTGGTTGATCTTATTAACTTTCTTCTCAAAGATCATTTTTCGAGAAGTCAAACTCGAAAAGAGGACACATTCTGATGCATGCATGTGTCTTAAATTTGCGTTTACGCTCTTTCTTTCGTTGTAGTTTTGATTTCTCTTCGTTGATGTAACGCTCAGCAAACTGAGCATTGGATAGGACTCAAAGGCTGAATTAAGTGGGCACCTCAATTCCCTGATATGATGTCCTGTGACTTTTTCTAGCGGTTGATCTGCTAGGTAAAGTCTCCTCGAGAGATCTCAAACCTCAAACTCTTCAATTGAACACAGCAATAACTAAGAAGTTTGAGATGATTCCTTAAGAGATTGTATAAAATTGTTTTCTGATTATTCAATACAAATTAAAGCTTTTTCGTGCTCATCAAAACTCATGATGATGAAAACGGTTGAAATGTCCAAGAAACGTTAAGATAGATAAATGAAGATGACAATGGCGTCGAACTAAAGCTTAAAGTGTCTCATGATATCCAAATGTCAAGCAAATAGTGAATAACAATTTTATTGCCTGAAAAATTGATTAGCTTTGACAGAAATGAGAAATTAACCAGCATTGAATAGTGATATTGAATTTCGAATGCATTAACGAAGAGAAGTAAAAGTAGCATCATTAGGAAGAACATAAAATTCAAGACACATGCATGCATCGAAAGGTGTCCCTTTTTCGAGTCGACGACTTTTCGAAAAATAATCTTAGCGATTTTTTTCAAAGGTTGGACAATAAAAACTTGCACATTTTATTATAAAAAGGCGTCAGTTTAAAATTTGCAGCTTTTCGAGTTCAAAATTTCCAATCATCTGAAAGAGGAAATACTTCATTTTAACACCCAGTATATCCCATGTTCATCTTTGTTCCGGAATAGTTATTCATCAAGAGAATGATAACTTTCCTTGCTTCATTTTTTGTTTCGCTTATTTCTGTATCTTCCTACAAAATGAAAAGTACTTTTTATACAGCAAGAGATTCATGATGATCATGATCATTACCATGATTATGATGACTTTATTTCGCTATTTTTTACCTCTGAATTCATTTTCTTGAAACTCTTACCAACCTGGCTATTATCATTATATTTGGAAAGGTTTTTTTGTTACCTTCTTGTTATCTCATTTTAAAATGTTAGCAAAAAACTCAAGTACGAGAATATATTAGAATGAAGAGTTTCATGAAAATTGAACAAAATTTTTTTCTTCACTTTTTATTTTTCTCAGCCCAATCTCAGAGCAACAGTTTTTTGTCTCGCGATCAAACATTGCAATCTGCCAAATTCTGCTATCAATTCAATTTTTCTTGCTGAATAATATTCGATAACCTGTATCTTTATATTAATATGAAACATGTTATGTTTCACATCATTTCCATGTAAATTTTTTCAAACATTTTTCTTCATTTTACATTCCATCAAATGCAAGAATCTGTCATCATCAGATGACTTGGAAAGAGCTAAAATTGAACTTTACACTGAATGGATAATCAAATTGAAATATGAAACAAAATTTTTCGAAACAGAATTCAATTGAAAATTTCATTAAGTTGACCTTTTAGGACAATCGGATGATTAAAATTGGAACGATCTTGAAAGTTAATGCGCAACATTCAATCAATTATTCCAAGCAAAAAGGTTTTTTTCAGTTAAAAAAGAAACGTTTTGTTTCTCCTGTTTTTCATTTTCTTTGTGATGTATTGTTATTACTTGAGTTATCATCTTCATCATCACCATGAAGAAACTGAATCCAGTTTATCAATCAACAGAAAGTTCAAGCTGTTTTTATTATGTAACATTGTTAAAGGTTGATTAAATTGAATTAAAGAAGAAATGAGTAAAATTTTCCTCGTTTTGAAAGTTTCCCTAACCATGATGAGCAAGAGAGTGATAATGATCAGAAAAGTGAGCATTTCAAGTTTTCCATTGCAAGTCAATCGTACTAATTTGAAATCATTTTTACGCCAAGTTTTCTTGAAATGGATGCAAAAAGAAATATTATTCAACATGCAAAAGCTATGATGTGATGAATAAAAAGAGGTTAAACTTAATTGAATACAAAAATTGAAAGTAAAGTAAAAAAACTTTCAATAATATACTTTGCCATTTAAAGTCGAAAAGTTCAAATGTCAAAGCTTTCTTTTCGTCTTGTCACCATTTACAAATGGTGCCTTTTTGCACATGATGTCTTTGAAGAGGAAAAATTTTTCCGAGTCTCAACTTTTGAAGGGCAACATTTGGTGTTTCAAGTCTCATGTTACAAATCCTTTCACTGACTTACTAAACAGAACTCGAACTTACTGTTGATCGCGCTTCGATTGAACATGTTGCTTTTCACGAAATTTTTCCATCAACTCAGCCCATGGTCCAGTGTTTAGTCCACCTCCACCTCCTGCTCGTATCATTGCCATGATTGTGACTAATTTGTTTTCACTTTTACTCCACAATCACTGAGATTTTTGTTGATGGTAAATTATAATGAACCTTTTGTTTCAACAATGATGAAGTATTGGCCACATGAATCATGAAACTGTATGATGTTGATTGCAAGGTGACTTTAACAATTGAATAACGAAAAAAACTATTTTTCTATGTTTACCTCGTTGATTTTGTTTCTTTTGTTTATTTTCTCGTGCACTGGAAAGTGAAGATGAGGTCGATGATAATGGTTCTGTTGGTGATGAAGGTGAAGATGATTATGATTATGATGATGATGATGGTGATGATTATACAAGTTAAATCATTTAAATCCTATTTGAATAGATGATATGGAAGCACACATGATATGAAAATAGAGATGCTTACAATGAAATTTATTCCAATGAGTTTCTTTTGCTTTCTTTCTTTCCTTCTTTCATCTTCTTCTTGTTCTTCTGACAAGTTTCATGATGGAAAAGAGAAACTTGGGAGAACGAAAAAAAGAGTGAGAATAGAACGCAAAAATGGGAGAAAAGACCGCGCAGATATGGATGAGGATGAGGATGGAGATAAGGATGCTGTAAGTAAAAGAAAGAGTAACAAGGTAAAATGAAGAAGAGTGAGAGTGGAAAAGCGAAAGATGCAGAAAATTTTGAAGGGAAAAATGAAGCAAAAATTGGATCCAGACAAGTTAAAGTTGGGAGTTGGAAGATAGAGAAAGCGAAGAATGAAGATGATAATGATGGTGTGCCTTTAGGAGCACAAGATATAAATGAAAGTAGCCTTGGTGCTTTGGGTGAAGCATGATTGTGATGAGATCAAAGAGAAATAGAGAGAAGGGGAACGAAAATGAATCTTTTTAAGTGTGATTCCAGAAGGTTTGAAAGGATACCTTCGTTCATTTTCACTGAGTCGGTAAACTTGAGTTGCTAAAATTACATGTTGGCATGGGTTAGACGCTACCAGTTGCCAAATTAATAATTGAAGGAAGAAAAGGCAAAGAGTGAAAAAGGAGCAACAAGATTCAGAGAACTAAAATGACTGATAAAAGTAAGTTGCTGACAGAAAATGAAAGGAAGAAAAATGAAAAAGATGAAATTTGGATGAAATTGATACTAATCATGTAAATACTAGACATAGACATTAAATCAAAGATATCTGTTGGTGGGAAAAATATTTCATGGAGTAGTTGATTTCTACAACAACAGATGGAGAGACAAGTTGTGTATTGAGTAGTTTAATGTTGACACATTTTAATTTCATTATTGGCAATTATTATGGTATTAGATGACTTAGACTCTAGGCTATCCTTCACTTGGCCTTTAATGAATGACCATGATTTTACAAAGCGATTTAATATAACTTGGCCTTTTGTTAAAAATGTTGATACAGTAAATAGTCCATTGAGTTTGCATCATAATTCATTTATCACCATCTTGATTCAGCTCGTAATTTTACTGTTATTTAGTTTGAAAAGCAAATGCAATTATGAAAATATAATTAATTAATTCATGTGTCTCATTATTTTTCGCCCTCTACAGTATAAGCCAACAAAATTGGAAAATCGTACGAACAAAGGCACTATGCTTGTGGGTAACTGAATAGCCACGTATATTGATGTAGCTAATATTTACCATGCCCTTGCTCAAAGAGGCAATACAGAGGTAGAAATTTCACCGAAAATTATCAAGCTCTATACTCATTCACTTTATTCATGAGAACGATACTTATATACCAACTTAATTTAACGTTAATTTATTCTTTTATAATGTTTATGTCTATATTTTATTTAGACATTGACTTGCAGGAACAGCATAATCAGATGAAATTTGCAATGAACCTTCGTCAGCATTGACAGATAGTCTTTCGTCGTTTAGCTGCTTAGTCCAACTGAATGTGTTGCGATTGTAGAGCTGAGATGCATCGTTCTTAACAGAAAATAATTTGGAATATGCAAGTGCAACAACAATTCCAGAAGTCAGTCCAGTTGCAAAAAATAGTATCATGATTCTAAAAATCGTTCCAGAATGGGTGCCTTTAGTTATGGCCGCAGTATTTCGTTGCTTATTCACACCCTGTTTAGTCCTTTCGTAGTTTTGACAAGTATCAGAGTGAATCAGTTTCTCATTAGCATCATGTCTTGAATATTTTGATCATTGACACGAGCTCGATGTTTGCCATGTGCCGAGCAATAATTGAATGACTGACAAACTGTGTCATAATCGTTCCAATGATAACAAAGAGCAGCACATTGATCAGTATTGAGGTTCAGTTCAGTGTGGAACACGTCAGCTACGATTGATTTTCCAGTTCGCGTAAATCTATCCAATACTTTTGCTGTGATACAAATAGAAACAAAATTTAATTTGAATATTTCTTCTGGTTGATAAAAAAAAGATTTAATTTACTTACGAATATTCAGCTGGCTGAGCACACTTTCGATGGCAAGAGCTTAAGTCAATAGTACCAAAAACACGAATTGTATTAAGTTTGTCTTCGATTAGTTTCGTTCTTTAAATGATCATTTTATATAGTGAATCGGATACATCTTCATTGACTTGAACGATTTTTACTTTTTCTCCATCGATTCTCTGAGATACATTACTATCCTCAGTCCTACAGAATGCAATGGCTTTATAGAAGAGAAGAAAATTTACAAAACGGAAAATGGTGCTTTTGTTGCATTACATACGTAAATGGTTCATATTTATGTGAATTCGTCCTCAAACAAGCTTCTTCCTCGCCAATAACTATAACTTGAAATGAATCTGCTAACGTTTTCTCAGCTAATTTCATGTTTTGCATCTTATAAAAAATGCATCTGTGGATACAAGAAAAGAAAATATCAACAGATTGCAGCGATTTGAAGGAGATTTTCTCGCCACTTTTTAGCCTTGAAAAGCCCAAAATCGTAACATAAATAATTATCTCTTAAGAACTTATTATTTTGTGCAATGTTTGCGGTTCTCGAAGCTAAAATTGTTTCAGTGTTGACGAGTGCTTCTTTAAATTCATTTTGGATTTGATCCCGGAGATTTTGTTTTAACTTTCAACATAAAGACAGTGAATTATTTACACGCGTGAAAGACAAAGTCAATCCATATGCAGCTAAAGGTCAGTTTTTGTTGGCTCACAAGAGGTGCCTAAGTCATGCTGGGACAGTAGCAATGACTTTTTTGAGGATTTTCGCCGATCATCAAGAAATCAAAGTGGTGACCCAAGTGAAAAAATGACTTTTTTTCATCTCGAAGATTGCCATACATTATTTCCAGAACAACACGAAGGCAAAATTCTGTTGTTTTTCAGACCGGTGATAGGATGATCACCGCAATAAGTTCTCCAATAGGTATTGGTTTCATCAACACACACAGGAAACCAGATATGAATGCTGGTACAAGAAGAGTGTACTGGAATACACTGCGTTGCACAATTTCAAGATTATACCATGGAGGTACTGACAAGTATGGAGTTAAAGTGGATCCAGCTAAAGCTTTAATTATCGTTGGTGATTTCAACGCGAGCATTGTTGACAATTCATCTGCTGATGATCAATCTCTCAAGACTTTGATCGAAGAATTCGGATCTAGCGTGGTGTTGACCGAAAATACTTATTTCTGTGACCACAGCAATACAGTTGCTAGGTACGATTATATTTTATATACATCCAATTTGAACTTTTGTAGAAAATTAGAAGATTTGGATACAATTATATCGGACCACAAAGCAATATTTACGGAGCTAAAAGTAACAAGCCATCCAGTAGCGAACGTTCCTCATGAAAAATATAAGGACCAAAATTGGGCCAGCTTCAAAAAAATTGTCGGGACAAGCAGTTTGAGATTTTAATCTATTTTGATCTAATTTATTGTTTCCTCTTTGAGAAACTCTTATAAGAGTACAAGCGTAGTCAACCACGAGTATCAGTAACTATCATTTTCTTTGCCTCTTTAGGAAACTCTTTTAACAGTGGCAGGATACTTGCCAGTGACAATTTTACCTTTTGCCTCTTTTAAAAACTCTATTAAACTCTTTTAAGTAAAAATGTAGTCCCCGTAATGACAGATATGGACATTTTGAATGTGAAAAAAATGACCCGCTTATGACTATAACAAGTTGAGGTGAGATCATTTCATCTATTTCTGATACATTAATCCAGCGAGGATTAAACATGTGAAAGCGAATTGTAGGCTGATTGTAGCATATCAGAGTTTTGTGATTTGAAGAAAATATTTCAAACAAACGGTCTTTCGCTGGATCTCCTGGAGAGTTAAAAGTTTCCTTAATACCAAAAGGTAAAGCATCTGAAGATGGTGTAAGAGAGACTAAAAAATCAAAATTAGTTCAAGATTTACCAGGATATAAATTAAATTAATACTTACTTCCTCTGACAGTAAAGAATTCATTGTTCAGTGAACCTCCATCATCTGAGTCTTCTAACGTCACAAGATCAATTAGTTTGGGTATTTTAAATGGGGGAGATGCGTTATCACTTGAATCAAGTTTTCGTTTATAGCTGGACTTAGCAGAATTGTTATTGTTATTGTTATTATGAACTTGCGACCGGTAGAAGCTTTTTATTGAAAGAGGCGATTTACTGGACATTGTTCAAGACAAAACATAGACCTATATAGACCTGTATCAGTTATTATGCCTAATTACAGATAGCGCTTTCCAATGTAAACATAGCGTTAATACCAAGCAAGGTTGCTCCAGCTAATGTCACAATCATCGAAAAGAATAAGAAGGTAAGTTTGCTTTCTTAAGAATATAAGATTTCGATGCAATGATCGATACAGAGACCTTTTGGTGGGAAAAGTCATCCCAGAATTGCAAAGAAAAAACCAGATTGATGATTACTGGTTGCAACAGGATAGAGCTCTAACCAATATAGTTCTTGATTATCTGAAAGAAAATTTTTATGACCGAGTTATTGCAAGGAGCTTTCCTGATCGGTTTTGTGATAAAGCTGCGTGCCCACCTTATAGTCTGGACCTTTCACCATTAGATTTCTTCACGCAACCATCTTTGATTTTTTTATTTTATTTCAGATCTTTGAAAACATTCAAACTTTTCTGTTAAGAGTGAAGGGATAAATGAAAATCCTTTTCATCGAACTATACAAACACTATCTTGACTCTTGAGGTGACCCTACCTACTTCTACCAACGATACCGTCCTCTACCTTACATTAACTAGTATTGTTAACTCATTACCACATATTTTCAACCCTGATATATATTGCAACTCAAATTTTATCTTTCAATTGTTTAACATATTTTTGTAATTTGATGACCCACATGTTTAACCTTCTCTTCAAATAAGTATTACACTACAGCTTCAGCATTATATCTCCGTCTATTCTTGCTATTATTCTTTCTAATGATAATCTTTGAATGCAGGCGTTGCATTTCAAATGTCATCTGATTAACTGAAGATCTATAGGATAATCAGGTTTGCAAAAATTTTATGTAAACTTCAAAGCACTAAAAGCAATTAGTATTCAAAATCTTGCACGTTATACGGTGATAAAAGTAGTTCATTTTAGCTTTTCCGTTTTCAAATATCACATTGAATCAAATATGACTGATCGTAAAGTTTTCCATTGAGCAGGACAAACGACATTAAAAAGCCCAAATGCTAAATGAAAATAATACATTCTGTATTACAATGAATAGTGAATCAAAGATTAACTTCTGATTTTGGAAAATATTTCATAGAGTAGTTGAACTCTACATCAATAGGTGGAGGAACGAGTTGCACTCAATGTTTTTCCTCACTTTTAGTTTTCATCCTTAGACGAGATCTCTTCAATTTTAGGTAGTTGATTAATTTTAATGCAGACTTGAGGTTAGCTATTACTTGGTCCCATACTTGTGATACTGATTTTACTAAATGATTTATCCAACTTGGCCTTTTGATAAAAT